TCTAACCTATTTTGAGCAGATTGGCTGCACAATGTCTCGCTATATGTAGTTTTTTTTGTAGGTGTTGTCTTTACTCCTTAATTTACACCTTTGGTGTTTTTTTTCCAGTTTGTTTCATGTGTTATCAAACTCTGAACACATATGTATTATCATATGGGATACGCACCATGCCTTATTGTCATGCATACTTTGCTCAAAGCCGCATACAGGCTGATTATTTCTCCAAACTTCCTAATTAAACCCACACAGAGCCGAGTGTTTGCGTCGGGTCGTATCAGTTCCCCCAGCCGACAGCCCAAAGTAATCACTCTGCTGTCGCATTAGCATTTCTATCCGAGCTCTATGCCGGGGACCGAGTCGTCCTTCTGACTACCGCGCCCAGGCGAGATTAACGAACTTGTCCAGTGTTTATAAACACCGGCCGCGCGGTGATGAACTGGTCCGGTGCCTTGCTATCTGGGGGCAGCATTCCAGGGGCTGCCCCGGCTCCGGCCCCGGCGGCAGCAGCTCGGAGTGAGTCTGAGGGCGGACTGTTGGGTGGTTCGATGGTCTGATAGTCTGTCGGACGGACGAGTCTGTCGTAAAATCTGGTTGGGGCCGGTTTGAGACCCGTCGCGCTGCTCGCTATCAACCCGTTAGTCTGAAGCTGCTCGTGTAGCAGGATGTGTAACCAGTTCTGTTCCTCGATCTGCAGTCATGCCTCGTCGTGTCCCGAGTCTGGTCTTTCTCCATTCCCCGTCTCACGAGCAACGACCTGCTCCGTCTAAAACGGCCGCTCATGAAACGGTTGCCTGTCTGTGACCTGTAACGGCTGGAGTGTCGCGGGCTGCTCGGTTCTAAGGAAGTAATCAGCATGACTGCGGCACGGCCGGCTCGGGCTGAGCGGGGCTGAACTGGCGTGCAGCTGCGGTGTGCGGCGGCACGTGAGGTCGACCCACCACCGCCCGATGTCGGCGACCCCTGCGAGCGACGCCGGGGCTGGTGGTCAGAGGCCCCGAGAGGGAGGGTCCTACTGGACGTGATCGAACTCTGTGCACGGTAGCCGACCCAGTGAGATGATGGAGTGTGATGGTGTGTAATCAATTTGATCGCTCTGATAAGGTTGTGATGAGCATCGTCCATGAAGATTCATGGCCCCGCTGTTCTATTAGCTATTGCCTATGAAAGCTGCTACTGCTTATTATTCTGACATGGTTTGTCTATAAACTCTGTCTAATTTCGACACAAAAATCGAACTAATCTCTTGCGCCACTCCACTCTATGCAGAGTGCCTGTGAAACGCGCTGCCACTTCTGGTTTACCTCGTACGTTTTATGTCCCAATCTTGGCAGAGCTGCTAAGCCCACACTTACGCCATTCCACACGTGCAGACCATGCTCCCCAGATGCCTCTTTGATCCGGCCCTGTCAGCGTTCTGTCATGTCCAGCCGGCGCACTGTGGAGCTGACTTCTCCCCTCCTCTCTCTGCAGTCGTTGGAGGACAAGGACCGGATGAACCATCGCTACAAGCAGCAGCTGCGGCGGCAGCAGCGGTACCTGACCAGCCAGCTGGAGGCGCTCGACCGGCGGCGACGCGCCGAGCTGGCCGCGGCCACGGCGGCCAAGCCGCGGGCCGCCTCGTCCAACAGTCTATCGTCTTCCGGCTACTCGGCCTCCGAGTTATCCGAGTCGGCCGACTCGCCCGACTCAGGTGAGACTCCGAGTCAGGGAGGGTGGAGTCGTGGTGAGAGTCGGTGAGAGGGGTCGGAGCGGAGGGCGGAGCGTGAATTCGGGGACAGTTATGTGGTGAGAGCTGGCTACAGGTCGGGGGTCGCCGCGATGGTCGCCTCCAGCGGCAGTTGAGGCGGTGCTGCACGCGCCAGTCTGGAGTCGGTCGGGTCAGGGAAGGATTAGGGTCGGGATGGGACCCGGGCGAGGCGGTCGATACGCTCAGTTATAGCTTGTTTGATTCCTTCAGTCGATCAATCAAACCGAGGATGGTTGAACCCACGAGACGCGTGGGCTGCTGTTGGAAACCCGTCCATCACCGGAGTCAAACCCGGACGAGAAGCACCACTGGAGTTGCTCTGCTAGTGCGGAACCGGCGTGGGGAACACCTGCTGACTTGTCAGACGCCCCCGGGCCGCCTGCCGACCGCATGTGTACGCTAAACCGCAGCTCGGCGCCGCTGGAGCCTCTCTGTATGCCACCACGGCCCGACGGTTGTGCCTCCAGCTAACGGGAAGCTTGGTGCACTGATGCATACCGGATCCGCGACGGGACCGCCTTCGTCGTCACGAGTACATACACCAGGCTGTGGAGCGGTGACGTAACCAGCTGACTGATGGCACGACAGCGCCGGGACGCGTGGCAGGCGGGTGGACGGGCGCACCGCCTCCGCGCTGCGGCGCCGTCGTATTTTCCGTGGCCACTGGCGGTGACTGGTGCTGAGGCCGGTGGGAGTTGTGATGACAGTGGTGACGGTTACGGTGGTGGTGACAGGGCTAGTGAAGGGGTTTGAGGATGGAGTTAATTTGGTCCGTTGCATCATATGTCCTTTCTAAATCGGCGTTGAGTCTAACTGAAATGGAGAAGCGGCCGAAGTACCCAGAAGCCTATTTCAATCGTGTCAAAATGTCGACACCAGCAAGGCACAAGCAAGACATAAGCAAGTTCCTAAGCCTGGCAGTAAGCCTCACAACCTAACGAGCCGTCCGCATCTCTGTTCTCTGCCCTGTCGCCATGCTCTCATCTCAGCCCGCTGCGCTCTGCTCTCTCAACCACACGACTCGGCTGCAATGATCCGCTCAACTGGCCCGATCGGACAGCGTGACGTGCACCCGACGGGGCCTCAGCGTACTACGCCACGGCTGGTGCCGGCGGCTGTAACGGTCGTCCGCCGCCTCTGCCGCCGCCGGCCCGGGCCGCCGACCGCCGACTGTGCATGGCCCGCCTGCCAACGACAAATGGTGCACGAATTGCGCAGTTTGAGAGACATGAACGAGGGCCGCCTTGGGGGCGTCGGCGTCTTCTGGCTTTATTTTTGAATGAGGACGGGATAGAAAGCTCATTTAAGCTTCTACTATTTTGGTCTAATTGAAAGTGGGTTAACGCGACTGTTAAGACTGATAAGCCGCACTCTCACTCTGTAAATTAACCACCACATCCACAATTCATCCTGCTACCGTCCGCCCGTCATTTCAGTGCCGTATATGGACTACCCGTTCTCGTATTCGTCCCTTCACCGGGCTCAGCCGCCGGCGGCCGTCCTCGCCGCGTGCGCGTGACACCGTGTCTTGTCGTGTCACCTGATGTATATCTCGCGGCCGTTACGTGCCACCGCTCTACCCGTCCTGACACGTGCCGCCACGGGTATAGCTCTGGACGGGGTGGGATTCGATACACGGGAGGACGGGGAGGCGGCCGCGGAAAACTCTGTGTGGGATGGAACAGGACGGGCGGAGCGGCGGGCAGCCACCTCGCCGCGGGGTGCAGCGGCCGAGGGCGCGGCACTGAGTGAGAAACGTGCGCGCCAGTCACGTGTCGCGGTGCCGCCCAGCCCCACGGTGAACGACACCGGTCACGTGGTCTCGGACGTTCACAGCGCGCCGGCTAGGTGGGAAGAACGGGGACGCTTCCCGCGAGCGCCGGGCGTCGTTAGAGTGATATGCATCGTAGCCGGACCGCTGTTGGAGAAAGGTAAAACTCCGCTGCGCGCTGCGCATGGCGGACCGGACGGCCACGGAGCTCGAGACGTCGGGCGTGCAGTGCTGATTCAGCCGGGAGGGTTGGTGACCGCGGCCGGTTGCTCGCGGACGTAAGGCGCGGCCCGCTCGACCGGTTATGCAGAGTGTGTGTACGCGACTGAGTTTCGGCCCCACCGCAGCGGTTACGGTGGACTGAGCGGGCAGTCACTCGGCCGGCCCACCGCGGTGCATGAAAGGTCAAAGTCTACATGGGTGAGCAGGGAAGAAAAACAAAACCGGGCGACATGTGCTGGAAAAAAACGTGGTTACGTAACACAGTCACGCGTGGATGCATGTCGTATGTTGACGGACGAGTGTGCGGCGGGCTATGAAGTGTGCTATGAGTACAGTGGTACCCGCGGGACTGTGTGTACCGGTACCCACACCACCCGCGCACGAAGGCTGGGAGCGCCGGGTCGCCGTCCGCCGCCGGTTACCGTTTTTGTGGCGACACCGGATAGTGGCGGCCGGGTAATCACGACCGGGCGATTTGAGAGATTGCTGGTCGTGGCTGACCCCGCCCCGGGATCCATAACGGCTGCCAGAGGCCGCGGGCGTCGCCGCAGTGCGCTGAACCTCCACTAAAACAGCCCCCGCTCGGGGACCAGAGGCCGGCCCGCGGCGCCGCACCAATGGCACTGCCCCGCATCGCTGGTGGCATGGGGGCAGAGCTCAGGTGATTAATGTGAGGGACGGGTAGTTACCTGCGGCAGTCATGAATGACTCGCCTTTGTGTGGGGCTAATTATTCGTGGAAATGAAGTAAGTTACAGCTGGGTGTGCCGCGTTGTGTATGATCTCCACATTTCGTGCAGCTGACGTAATGATGTGGCTGACCGTGCAGTTCTGTGTTGAAATGTGTCCGTTTCGTGCACGGCACTGACTCAGGCCTGTGCCGATGCTCGGTGCTATGTGCCTGATGCCCCGGCCTGTTCCTATGTATGCCGTGTGCCCTGTGCTCCCGCCCTTTTCCCTCGCATAGTCCACTCCAGCCGCAGGTCACCCGGCGGAATGCCTTTGTCGCAGCGCGCGGCGGGTGCATTGTACCGTTCGCCCGCGCGTTTTCCCCAGCCAGGTTCTTCACCCCTTGTCGCCAAGCGGCCGGCCGACTGCACGCTCGGTACCATGCATAACGGAGCCTTTATGAGCGTAATTGGCGGCATTGTTGCATGTCGGCCGGTGTTCCCGGCGGCTGTACCTGCGGCTAGTTCACACCACCCTGTCCTACCCCAGGCGTGGCCCGCCTACATCACTACCCGTCTACGTGTTATCCATCTTTTCCGTGGTTTGTGTGTATTCATGACGTCACGACTTACACTGATGACGTCACTGACTGTTCTCCTCTCTTTTTCAGACGGCTGTGAGAGCGCAAACGGCGCCGTGGCGGCGAGTGGCGTCGACGCCACGAGGATTGCTTTCAACACGCTTGACTTTCTCGGCATCGGTGGCATGCACGTCCAGGCTAATTGTGAGCCCACCCAGGCCTAGGTAAGTATTGGCGACACGTACGAGGTTCCACTGGGTACTGAAAGGGAGGGACAGGGACATACTACTGGGGGTGGGGGGTGGGGGGGGGGGGGGGCAGGGATAGGGGAAGGGCTGGTGCTGTATAATAAGGAGGAAAATTGAATATTTATGGTGAGGACCAAGCTGTAAAGGCAGACTTGCAAGGTGTGATTTGGCAGCGATAGGTCGGAGAAGCTGTCATGACCCACACTTTCTTTACTGGTTATCGTGCCGTTTGCAAAAGTTTCGAAGTGACCGCTGCATTTAACAATGAGCGATTTGGAAGTAAAATCGATAGCCCATCTGGCAAATTGGCCTCTGGGGAGCTGCAAAATCGGCCCGATTCGGTCCGGTTCGGTGAGTGTCGAGGTCGGCTGCCTGTCCAGTGCGCACGCGAGCGGCGCGGCACTGTGCGTTGCGCCGACCCAGTTCGGGGTAATGGCGCAGCGGCGGTACGGACAGCGACCTGGATATCATACACGCACCGCTGCTCGTCGGACCGCTCGACGGAAGGCGGCCATATGGGCACAAAATGATGGCCCATGTCCGCTGGGCGGGCGCAGGCAATTCGGCTAATTTACGTGTTTGTAGTATGTTATGGGGATTATGGTCTAAACTGTAAATTCCTGGGATTTAATATGGGCATTACAATATTGGTTGGATGTAATTTGAAGCTGGGCTGATGTAGATGAGATGTATTTCGCTCAGTCTGTGCGTACCGTTCGTTTCCCGTGTTGAGTGTGTGGGCGGGATTTCGCGTCCCTCCGAGGTTTCCCTCTGAGATTTGTCGGTCGGCCGCGACCTTCAGCGCTCGCTGCTTTTGTGTGCCGAGCGGGCCGCTCGATCGCAGGTCGTTCGCCTGGCGGTCGGATCCACCGCTAACGCAGGGTCAAGGTCGCGCCGACGCGCCTCACGCAGCCGCCGGGCCCGGGCCGGGGAGGTGGTCGATCGTTCACGCACCTCGGCCGCTGCTGCGACGGCGAGTTGGGACCGGCGCCAGCGGACGCCCGTTGCAACGATTGCCGCGCGCCGTCCGCCCCGCACCACCTGTGCCCACCGCTGACCGTGTTTCCCCTGTTTGCCGCAGCTGGGAGGAGGGCGCCAGCGTCGCGGCGCCGCGCTAGTCAGCGGTGGTCCGCGTCTGGCCGCGCCGCCTCGCCACTCTGGACTCAGTAGCACGTCAGCGGCGGCGGTGTCACAAGGCTTCAGGACGTTGTTGTGCGAAAAATGAAATATGCGCCACCGGAGGGCATCAAGTACAAAGTGCGCCACAGCAGTAGAACGTCCGGCTCCCTCCGGTGATATGTTTGTGGGCGGCGCCCGTCCGGCGCGCCGGCGGCCCTCCTCTCGAGCCGCGTGCCAGCCCGGCCCGGCCCGGCCCTGCCCGCCCGCACCGGGCCCGGCGCCAGTGGTGACCGCGCAGCGCCGCCATTGCCGGCGCGATTTAGAGGCCCGCTTTTGACGTTGATTTGCCGCCGGGGCGCCGCCGCGTCCGGCCGGCCCGCTGGTTGTGTGCTGATGTATAGCTTTATTTATTAGTCTCCTGGCGCTCAGCGCTCCAACTGGCTTGGTTCCGTGATACGACCAGTGCGTGATTTGACCGTCTGACGACTGCGCCCCGCCCCGGGGTGGTAGGGTCGCCCACGCGAGACTGCGCTCAGTATAGTATGTGTATGCCGTTGTAAATTATTTATTAACCTTTGTTCTGTTCCAAATTTCTCGGTGAATAAATCCCGTTTGTATTGGCTGTTTTGTGGGCACGGTTGCAGAGTGAGATCCGCGGGCGCGGGAGCGTTGCATGGACACGATCATACACCAGCACATCATTATACGTAACGATCAACCGCACGGTCACCACAGACACTAAAAGTCATTTCACTTCGCACTCACAGTCGCACCACACCAGCCTATCTGCAGGTCACAGCACTATGTCCTGTCACCTCCCTTCCTCACACCCTTCACATTCCCTCCCGCCCCTCCCTGTCCCGTTCTCGTTCCCTCTCGCGTTCCCTCATGATGGCCATGTCCCGTTCCAGTCCAACGGGAATACCGTTCCTAGCCTGGTCGTTGGCTATTGCCGCGCGCACCTGCGGGAACAAGTGTCCCAGCTTGGCCACGTTGTTCTGCAGTACGAGGAGAAGGTTGGTGGTGAAGCGACTCTCGAGGGGAGGGAACGAGCGGCTCGTCACGCCGTTGGCGTCCAGAGTGAAGGCGGCTGGCGTCGGCACTGTGTCCCGCATGTAGGCCCACACGTCCGTCAACAGCAGGTACACCTGAGGGAGAGGAGGGTTACGTCAGGGAGGGTGACGGGCCATGGAGGGTAGCAGGCTCGGTGCACCGTCAGATAACAGTGAGGGCAAAACACACTCGTTCGGGACTCGCCGACTCTGTAAGCTGATGCGATGCCCGATTTCACCCGAGTGTGTTGAGAGGAAAAGTGGATAGCCGAGAAAACAGACGAGATCTACCTTTAAAATGTGACTGCACTCAGCAGAGTGTACCTAGGGACTGTGCCGCATAGATCACAGTTGACACCATCAGAGGTCAAAGTACATTTCCTCGCAATGGAAGTACCTGATAAAGTGAAGCAATGTTGAGGTCACACCAAACACATCGCGTTTGCAGTTCTTAACAAACGTGCATTGTTTGAAACAGGTGTTCCTGCCATAGCATGGCCGTAGGCAACAAGCCGCCTATTGTTTCGTACTGCGACCCGCCAATGAGTCGGCTAGGCAATGACAAGGTTGAAGGTACAGGGCAAGTTCACACGAGTCGAAAGTTCAAAGGTGTGGAATCGTCTTATCTCACAAGGGTTGTCCAAGTTCAGCGAAGTGGTCATTTAGCTGATGCAACACATTAACTTGAAACAGATCATGTGTTGGATGGGGTTTTCAGACGTCAACATTCTGCGGAAATACGGGGAACTGGATGTAAAAATGCGACGCAAATGTCGCATCTGGTGTAACGATCGGTCGACAACATATTTCACAATCCATTAGATTACACTGCGTTCCAGCTTCACGAATACCTATGGTCCTATACCCCCCATGACAACAAAATCACCACTGCTTGGAACTTAAAACAGCGTGAGGCAACTCTTCGTCTGTAATTTATTTCTACGTAAATCATACACCGCCCTGCAACAACAACCAACCGGTGACACAAGGACACTCAACGTATCAACACCACTCAACTTCCGGCGACTGCTTGTCCTCCTGTTGTGCTAGTGCCAAATGTCAATTGACACACATAGCACCAAGCTCGAGATATGTTGACAACTACAGCACAAACCATGCTGTCATCGAGTCCTCCTTAAGCGTCACCTTTCCCGTCGTCCCGTACAATCCATGACGTCACACCCCTGACATCGACATGTCACATTACCCCTGGGTTAGCCTGGAGCTCATTCAGGCTGAGCAAAACCACCATCCCAAGCCTCTCTAAAGCCACGCAGCCAACACCGTCAAACACGGTGGGCTAAGGGTGGGTGTAACACCACACGGGCCGTTTCCGCCGGCACCAGACTCGGCGGCGGTCAACCCCGCGCCGGTGACTCGGTGTTTACTGTCGCCTTCGGAACCGGTCCGGCGCCCGGCGACGAAGGCCGGGCAGTCGCCTTCTGTCGCCCCGGTGAGCGACCGAAACCACGGTCAGCTGACTGAATGTCGAGTCATATCGGCGGCGATTGCTGAACGATTGCCTAGTGCTCGGCAACATGCGAACCTAAACTGAGTATCTACCGGGAAGTTCAAACGGATGCTGCTAAGTTTGCTAAGAATGAGGAAGATATAAAACCCATAATGCATATGGATCAGCCACCACTATTTGAAGTCTAAGGATCATGCTGTTGTTACTTTCAGAACCATCACAGTCAATAAGAAGACTGCTGCTAACTTCATATAGCCCATGTTACCAAGGGCTTTTTAGACCCGAGCATCGGGTGAAAAGTAACAAAAAAAGCGAAACTCCAACAGCAGATGACTCAGCACGTTGTCAGGAGTCATCTGAGGAATGACGGAACAAACGACCACCCTAGGGCTGCGGTCAGCCGTCCACAGCTGGTCCCCAACGGCTCCGTCCGGCCTCGAGCCGACGGAGCACGGAGCTGACGGAGCACGGAGCCGGCGGAGCATGGAGCCGGCGGAGCACACGCTCGGTCCGGAGCCGACGGAGCACGCTCCAGTGGAGCCATGCGGAGCCGGGCAGCGCTCAGAGCCGTCCAGCCATGACTGTTACCCAGGGTATATTGAGAGGCTGTTGCCACCCGCGCTGGGGAGCTACGCTCGCGGGTCCCGGCACGTCCTGCCGTGAGGTAATAAGACCACACATCCACATGGGTACAGGCCGCAACCCGCACCCCGGGGCAGGACGGAACACGTTCTGGAGCTGCACTTTGTCCGGTGGGGACATAAAAATGGGACTCAGACTGGTATGTGAGGTCGTGAGTCGAGCGATTTCATGAGAGGTGTGCTGCAGGTCAAAACACGTCTCGGATTGACAAAAAGCGCCCGCATCCCTACCCAATCCAGACAGAGGATTCCCCAACGGATAATTCATTGAATAAATGAATTTCCCTCCCCACCCTGAACGACTCTGGAGCAAAAACAGTCACAGGCTCCAACACGTTTCTAGGCCGGAAATGTCCGAGCAATCACCCCACCTGCTCCAATCGGCATTCCCCTGTTTCTCTACATCAAACCAGGCCGTGTCGCCGACTCTGGCAGACCGATCTCAAACCATGCCGCTCCCCATGGGGCATGGGGTCACTATGGGGTCACTACCCCTCTTTCTCCCCTGCTGTCGGTGTCCCTTCAGTTGTGGTCAGCCTGCATCCCGTCCTGACCTAAGAGCGACCCAGAGTCCACTTCACAGAGGACCCGCGGCGGGATACAGACTCGTAGACACAGCTCGACAGACGACAGTCACCAGATAAAGGCAGCGGCACACATGGCAGCTGTGGTGACGCATGGATATGTGGTCTGATGTGACGGTTTGTCGAGTCATTCACCGGCGAGACGGTGTGTCAATTTGAACAGAACACACACCTCACAAAAAGGCGATCGATACCGGACAGGCTGTTTACAGTTCACGGTGATCAGTTATTAGCAGCACCTTGAGAACATCGCGTGATTCGATGAGCATGTACATATAACGCAAAAAGCCTAGTTGCCGCTCTTCAATCATAAATGAATCAAAACACTTCATTCGCCACATTTCGACAAAAACTGACTTACATCGTGAAGCAAATTGTAATCTCTCCAATTGTCATTCGTGCTGTCAAAACTGCATCTGTGCCATCAAACTTCGACATCAGACATGCACCGTCCCAACTCGCAGCCTCAACATACTGTTATGCCTGCTAGTTCCAAATCCATCTATCATATTAATCATCTTCTACGTCTCTCTTTCCAATCCCTCATCCCTGTCCACCCTTCCCTCTCTCCCCCGCGCCATCCCACCCCCCTCTCACCTCGTGTGACGTCAGGCTGGCCAGCATCTCTGGTATGAGTGTGAGCGGTGGCGGCAGAAGACGACCCAGGGCCATCACATAGAGCAGTCGCTCCGTCACCTCCAGCTGGCTGGAGCACTTACTCGCCAGAGACTCCTGTGGTGGAGAGGGGGAGAGGGGTGAATGAGAGGGGGAGGGAGGAAGGTGAGAGAGGGAGGCACAGACAGGTTGACAGACCAAGAAATACAAAGGAACGGAGGATGGAAGGAGAAAGAAAAAGACAGATAGATATAGGAATGGAGAGAGAAAGAAAGAGAGTAATATCATTATCCACGAAAGGGGAGAGTGAGTGAGTGAGTGAGTGAGTGAGTGGGTGGGTGGGTGAGTGAGTGAGTGAGTGAGTGAGTGAGTGAGTGAGTGAGTGAGTGAGTGAGTGGGTGGGTGGGTGAGTGAGTGAGTGAGTGAGTGAGTGAGTGAGTGAGTGAGTGAGTGAGTGAGTGAGTGAGAGAGAGAGAGAGAGAGAGAGAGAGAGAGAGAGAGAGAGAGAGAGAGAGAGAGAGAGAGAGAGAGAGAGAGAGAGAGAGAGAGAGAGAGAGAGACCGTTACACGGTATTTCTGCACACTGTGGGCTCGGAGTAACAACAAGGAACGGTTCGGGTGGCTGTGAGTGAACTGAGTGAACCGAGGTTTGCGGAACTAGCATGAGTGATGTCTGATCTGGGTTCGTGAGCCGCGAAGGCCGAAATAACAGTACATCTTTGTGCAGTTGCAGGATGTAAACAGGCATCGTTAGTTATCGTGTCTGGCAAGGGTGGAGTCGTTTCAGTTTTGATGTGCTGCAGACACTTCAAGGAATCGTTCAGCTCGTTGTAACCACACCCTAATCATGTAGGTATCCAATCGCAAAGTAGCAGAGCACACGTCGAATAAACATGCATATGACAGCTACTAAACCGGCCGTAAAACCGTTCCCTATGCATGCTGGCGATGGCACACAAACAGAACGCCCCACACTGGGGCCATTTGGCGGCGTCTGCAAAAGTTCACCGCCCTGCTGTCGGGCGCGGCGATGACAAAACATTCACAGGTGTCACGAACACGGACCGGGCTCGTCCATCTGTACCGGGTGCCGGGGCGTGTCAGCGGCCACAGTTTTACGGCTGCCGTTTGTAGGACAGGCGGCACCAGGCGCCGGCGACATAGTTTGTCAGTTGGATGTATGCTCTACACTTGGCCGACAGCATTCCAGTGTAATTTAGCTGTCAGCACAATGGCCGTAATTTAGCTGGGAAA